GGTCTTCTTTCCTAATTTTTAAAGGGCATTTTTTTTCAAACGTGTTGGTTAGGGTTTGTGTCAGAAACTTCGTAGTAATAAATTTACCACTAAAACAATTTATGTACTATAAGAAATAATAAGGGGATTAGAGCAAAGATAACTAGTTAACGCAATTTTTTTTAAATAAAAAAAATGTTTCAATAGCTTATCCCGTGGCATCATAATAGATAAATTGCACTGTTATAAATTCGATATATCAAGTGTTCAATTAATTAAATCTTATTTAAGCAATATATCTCAATAAAAACCGGGATCCCACAGGTTTCCGTTTTAGAACCTATACTTTTTCTGATTTATAAAAACGACTTTAATTCGACTTTAATACTTCTTTAAATTAATCAAATGTGTTTCACCCTTTATTTAATAAACTCGTTGACAATATTCAAGAGGAAAATCTTCAAATTATGAAAAAATCCCATCAATGGTTCGCTCACAATAAAACTGTAAATTTATTTTTCATTTATAAAAAAAAAAATAGATATCAATAACTGTTAGATATCTAGGTATACATATAGACCCAACTTTAAACTGAAATTCAGTTTAATTTAGTAAATTTAACTGACTTCCCCAATTTTAACTGCATACTATGCTCTGATAATGACTTATATAATAATATATAAGTTATGGTTTTATGGTTTGGGGGTCACGATCCAGCTGCTACTTGAATTTTCGGGTTACAAACAAAAGTAATACGCATAATGTGTAACCTTGGCAAAGTTTATAGAACACATGTTATTCACATTACCATCTTTATTTATCTACACTTACATAATGTACATGTTTGGTAATAAGGATTTATTTGACATTCCTTCTCATTCTCATAACACAAGAATTGCCTAAAATTTTCGTGCGGAATATTTTAGACTCTCCTCGACAAAGAATGGGTTTAATTATTATTGCTTAAAATTTATAACTTGTTACCATAGATCAATTATTCAAAAGGAATAAATTTAAAGAAACGCGTCAAGCATTTTACAGTGTAAATGATTTCAACATCTTAAACCTAACCGATACAGGTTTTACGGTGACTTGAATGTAAAAAAATATTATTGTTAAAGTTTGTCAATCTCTTTTGTAATTGTAATTATTTTTTTGCTAATATTTATTGTAGAAAATGTTATTAAAATAACGAATGTAAACATTCTGAGTTTAATCAAAGATCTACATATTATTTAACTTCTTAACTGAAATAATAACAGTTCAAATACTAGATATTTAGTCTATAAGCAACTTTAATAAAATAAAGGAAACTCCTAATAAATAACACATAAGATTGTTTATTAAAAAACGTTAGGCTGCAACTAGTTTCGTTTTACTTGCCATCATCAGACCTATAATATAAAAGTCCAAAGTTGTGACAAGTTCCAGTATTTATAGAAAAAATTCTATACTTGTGAATAAAAGATTTTTTTCAAAAATAATACATAAATAAAATTGGTGTATACAATTGGTGATTACGAATTAAATAAAGACAGCAACACAGAAAAAAGTTAACAATTGAAAAATTTAGTAATGCGGAATTGAGAGATGGTAGGAGTAGAAATCTTTTAGATAAGTTAACAATCACACTATATAAATCAGTCCATTTTGGACGCCATTTTTTTCGAAATAGTAGTCGCCCATTGATCTGGCAACCTGTAGTCGCCAGGCTTGCCAATATAAGAAAAAAAATTAATATCTTTTTTTAAATGACATTTTCATTATAATATGCCCATATTTTTTAGGATAAAATATTTCAATTTAATAAATTATTAATAATCTCGCATGTACATAGAATACGTCGTGAAAAGTAGATCACTTTCAATTTTGGGCTGTTTTGGTGTGGTTTATTTTAAAAGGTAATTGAAGAGATGAAGACAATTTTCTTATAGATAAGGATGCATAACAAATTATGGCTCCATTTTTTAGAGCTCCAGTCCCCTAAGTCTATTTATTTTAGGTCTTTTTAAATTGTTGGTAGGTATTATTCACTTCATTTGTATGTTTTTATTTAATTTAAATAATTTTGTGTAATATCTTGCGATTTGTTTTCTATACATTTTAGCATGTATTTGTTGGCTACATCTTTTTAAGGATGGCTTTGAAATACCTTTACAACAGAGGCACTTTCCTAAAACTGGCCGAAATTTGAAACTGAATACAGTTCTTAGAGAAAATCTCCAGTAAAAAATGTCTGCATGCAGAATAACAGTAGCATAGATTAACAAAGCTGACAAAAGAGTTGGACAAACCTTTGCCTAGCTTTTTTAATATTTCAGGACAATAGTGTTAACAGCAGACCACAACAAGAACAACCAAAGTTTAGTAATTAAGCAAAATATTTCAGTATCTCCAGAATTATAAACGTATGAAAACTATAATAGGAAACATGTATGGCTTCGAATAGGAAATTACCTAAATTAGCATATTTAGTGAATATTGTATTTAAAGAATATATTTTTAATCAAAACTTTTGTGCTTCTACTCCAACACTAACCATATAGAAATGCATATGCATTTTATAGTATTAAGCAAGATTCGGATCAAATGTACCCACAATTTATAAACATTATTAAACTAAAATAAAACATTTCAAATAACACCTGTTTTTATTTAAATAAAACATTAAATATATGTTTTTATTAAATACATAAATTGGTCTTAACCACACTTTTTTTTGTTTTTACTTCTAGTGTAAAAGTGACTACTAATTCACAGTCTTTCAAGTTTATTATTTAAAGAGACCAGCTACTACAAAATATCCTATTGATGATAACTAATTTATCTTTAATAATGCTTAGGCTCTTAATTAAATCACATTTAAATCAAGTAATTACATTTTCATATTCAACTTGTGTATTTTTTTTTACACCCTTCGGATCTCCCGTGCTAGCCCCTAATCCGTCTATAGCCTGGCGGCACTGCAGCCTGCGGCTTATTGTACCACCATTTGAAGGTCGAAGGTCTTACTACTTTCTCATTCAACAATTCACTCCCTGATTCTTATGTATTCTTATTAGAACTTAGTCACTTTTTTTTAATTTGAATTTTTTGACTGTGGTAACTTGAGTTCATTCACCAAACCACAAACTTAGTCACTTAAAAATATTGAAAGAGAATGTCATAAAGGTAAAATTCTTTCTTCTATGATGTTTTCCATGCAATTTTAGGTTGTAAACGTTTTGTTCAACACCTTTTTTACAATTTATCCCAAGCAACACTAGGAAAGGTGTAAACCCTGAATTTACAGCATGCAGTTTTGAGATGAGTGCAGTCACAATGCAGTCTTAGAGATAATTTTCACATGAACACTTATTTACCACAGCACAAACGCATGTACCTATTCATGTAACATTAAAATAAAGTGGAAACAAATTGCATAATTTGGTATATAAAAAGTACAAAATGTTTTTAGTTTTAATTCGACATTCGACTACGAGGAAAACAGTGGTTCATTCCACTTGTACCATATTGACATTATTATGCACGATGCACGTTAAAAGTAGATCTCTCTGTTTTTATAATACTATTACGGCAGGACAAACGATAACCGTGGATTTCGCCAAACGAACATCAGAAAAGTGTTGCCAACTTAAGCTGACTACTATTTCCCACCTAGCCTCAGTCACCCCCTCATCCATTCACTGGGTCTATGTCGCGACCCCCTTAGATATACCAGCCCTGATCTAAATATATATATATATATATATATATATATATATATATATATATATATATATATATAGAGTAGTTATTAAGATGTCGAAACAAAAATGAATACAGGACTATTATTATAATATATATTTTTTTTAGATGCCCCTTTTTATAGTTATTCGCATATCCGATTTCTATGTCATTGTAATTTTCTTCTTAACATCTATGATCCGCAATAAGTTTAAGAAATCAACCAATCTAAGGGATTTTATTCGTAAATCATCCTTACCATTTCTCAATTCCACATATTTCATTTTTTAAGTTTAAGCTTACTACGTGATTACAATTTTATGTGTTGCTGCCTTTGTTTTAATTCGTATTAATAATTTTTACCACATTAATATCAATGGATATTGTCTGACTGGTGGTGTACACCAATTTAATTTATGGGTTATTTTTGAGAAAAAACTTCTATTGACATTGCGTGTATTAAGAAAAAAATCTATACATACTGGAACCTGCCACAACTTTGGATTTTTGAAAGATTTGAGACAATGGTTAATCTTTCTTATTATAAACAACTCTGACTCACCACATTTTACTTTTAGAACCCTTTTACTATCAAACAGGATTTCAGCTTTACGCAATACAATATCTCCGTTTATTATGTTTCTAACTCGACTTGAAAATTTGAATTCGTAACACCAATCTTCTTATGTAATTCGATTTTTTTTCCATAATTATTATTCCTATTAACATTAACTGTTACGTCGTTAATGCGTTTTTTAAATTAAGTTCTAAAACGGTGCAATAAAAATAAAATAAACAAATTAAAAGTAAACCTATCTAACATGGGAACGTTTTATTGTTATCAGTACCAGAATGAACAACGTCAATAAATAAATATGACAAAGCTCATTTTCTGATTTTTTTTTTTTCACAAGAATAATTCGTTAATCAAATATTGAGGGCTGCAAATGTTGAATGATCGAATTTTAAATATTAATTGTTCTAGTTACTTGTTCCCTGTATTATTTACTTTTTACAAGGCGAAAGATAATAGTCTTTGTTTTAATATAAATCATGTGTGTTTGTTTTGTTGCTTATCGTAACGGTATAGCTGAAATGATTTGTTGCAATTGGCAAATCAAATTCGAATATAATGTTAATTTTTTTTTAAATACCAATTCAATCTATGAAGAAATTATAATCTCTAGACAATTTTCCCAATATAATCATTATCTAAATATTTCAAATCCCTCTGAACTCTAAGGCTGTATAAGTGCTTATAGATAAAAACAATTAATTATTATTTCCTAACTTACCGTATTAAGTCTAACAATGTATCCACTGTGGTGACATTTCTTTTATCCTCTTTGTTGACATCTTTTGGATGGTGGCCGACTCCTGGCCTGATGACCACCACAGTGATCATACCTAACACCACCGCAGCAAAAGTAGTGGTTAAGTAATAAGCGACAGCCCTTGCGGCTATTTTTCCTGACAGCGACAAGTCGAGACTAGCTATTGCCGATACCAAGGACGATACTATTAGAGGCAGGATCAGGGCCTTCAGCATCCTTAAGAATATTTGTCCTGCAATGAGTAATGACATTGTTACGGTCATAATAAAACATCACAGAGTTGAAAATTTTACTCAATAAATAGAAATTTGTCGTTCTTGAATAATAAGGTTACCATATCGTCTAGCAACAAAATATAGAGTAAATGATCTTAATGTTAAATTTTACCCAAAATAAACTTAAAGAGAAAAATCAAAGTTTCATTTATGCATTACAAAAAAATTGACAATTTGGATTGGAATTAGCTAGCTTAGCAAGTAGAACTCATTTAGTATTTCTCAGAGACACTTTATATAAATTAATTCTGGAACCCTATATTCCAGTAGCAAATAGCTGCACGTTTCAACACGATAATTCTTGCAACAGGCCTACATCAATTTTCTTTCTTGGCCTACACGATCGCCAAGTTTATCGCCCATTGAACGTATCTGTGATATGGGCGAATATGCTTTGTAAAGCTCAAATTAATTTTAAACAGGTTCGTGATGCTTTAAAAGTTGTTTGGGATAAGAGAAAGCAATAGTACACATCATTAAAAGCACGCCTAGGTAAATAGTAGAATGGAACAGTTTACATAGAACGGCCACCCATTACTGTATTTCTATTTTTATATTTTGCAATATGGTTTAAATATTGTAACGTTCGTTTAATTTATTTATAGTTTATTTATTTAAAACACTTTATTTACAATTTATTTATACGTACTAATTAATTTATATAATACTTAGGCACTATTATAACTCACAATTCTAATTTATTTCTGCCTTGGTCACTCTGGATCTCCAAAGGCACTCCAAATCTACTGAATTCTTTTATTAACAGGTCTGCAATAGTTGCGACCTCTTAATTTGGAATGGCGTAGACTTCCACTCACTTAGTAAAATAATCCATACCTACCATGTATTTATTACCATTCTCGGTCATGGGGAATGGTCCAGTAATATCTAAGGCAATCCTTTCAAATGGGCTACCGACGTTATACTGCTTCATGGGAGTCTTTCTTTTTCGTAGGGGTCCGTAACTCATAGCACAGGTGGTACATTTCTTACACCAGTCCTTTATACCGGGTGTTCAAATTAAAGTGTTACAGTTTAAATATCGCCGAAAATATGTATTTTAGAAAAAAAAAGTTTCAGACAAAAGTTTTATAGTTTTTTGGGGTAAACATTTTGGCTAAAATCATTTTTTTATAGCTGACCATAATATGGCCATATCGAGGTGGACTTTGTTTTTTAAATTGGAACCCCATTTTTTGTTTACATATTCTTAAAGTACATAAAAAAATAAGAAACTTTTGAGGGAAATATTTTTTTTATTGGACTTTTACTTTTTGAGTAACAGCTACTTAAAAATTTTCATGGGCGAACAAAAAAATTGTCCATATTATGGTTAGCTATAAAAAATGATTTTAGCCAAAAATTTTTCCCCACAAAACTATAAAACTTTCGTCTGAAACGTTTTATTTATAAAAGGCGGTATTTAGCTGTAACACTTTAATTTGAACACCCGATATAATCGGAACTGTTCATCCAATAAAAACTTTCACGATCTCTGAAGGGGTTTCTTAACACCGACATGTCCTCCTGATGGATCGTCGTGTAACTGACGAAGTACTTCGGCTACTCTAGTCTTTGGAATGACCAACTGTCTTCTGTTTTCGGAACCATCATCAATCTCTAGTACTCGCTTTAATAAGCTTTCTTCTAGAATAAAAGAGTCCCACTGATCTCAATATGACTTGACTACTGGAGAGAGTTTTAATAATTCTACGATTTTTCTCTTTCCATTGTTGCATCTTCTTTAAAACGGGATCGTTCTCTTGTTTTTGCCTAAGTTTGGCAGGAGCCTACTTGTCGTTGACTACAGTTGTTCTTAGTAGTCCACTTTCTTTGGATTCTGCTCTGTTGCAGTGAGAGTACTCTACTGGGCATGGTCTTCTAGAAAGAGAATCGGCATTTATGTGGCTTATTCCGGCTCTATGTTAGATTTTAAAGTCGTACTCTTGAAGTCGTTCAATCCATCTGGCGATTTGTCCCTTCAGGTTCTTGAACTGCATCAACCACTCAGGGGCTGCATGATCGGTCCGGATTAAGAATTTTCTTCCATTTAAGTATTGGTTCTACGCATTTCACAACTGCCAGGAGTTCTCTTCTCGTGACGCATTAATTTCGCAGGTTTCGAGAGCACTTTACTAAAATAACCCAGTACTCTTTCTTTTCCCCCTTGAATCTTTGAAAGCACTCCTTCAATTCCCACATTACCTGCATCAGTATCCAGAATAAATTCTCCCTCTGGTAGTTGGTAGCCTAGTATTGGCGATGTTGTAAAATGCTTCTTTAGTGTTTTAAAGACAATTTGGAAGTCTTCATCCCAGAAGAGTTCTTTCGATTCTTCTGTGAGTCGGTTAGTGGCTTAGCAATATCTGCAAACTTCCTGATAAATCTTCGATAGTACGTACATAGCCCAAGAAAACTTCTTTTCTGATGTTTATCAGTTGGTTGTAGCTACTCTTTGATAGAAGCGACTTTTTCCTTATCTAGAGCCACGCCATCCTTGCTGACTATATGACCCAGATAATTAACTTTATTTTGAAATAAATGTCTTCCTTTATTTCCTAAACAATCCTTTAAGCTTCCTCTCTCTTGGCCTTTGATCATATGCAAGCTGATTCACGAATCAGCCTGGCGTCACCAATGTCAATTTTGTGTTTTACAACAAAAGTTCTGCCTGTTTTTCCTCCATTTGGTACAAATTCCTTTATTTTCTTTAATTGATTCTGAGATTGACCAGCACTCATTTGCTCGAATTTGTCGTTTTTTTTTTTGGCTTGGGCACTTGCCATTCAGCCAGTCGCGAAATATATTATATAAGTTTAAATTGCATTATCACTCTAAATACATACATTCAATTATACACACGTTTGTCCTAAGCAAGAAAGGAAGAAAAATATATAAAAGAAGATAAGGCAAGCAAGGAATAAACAAAGGGAAACATTTCTTCTTGTCTAGGGGCCCGTCAGGACTTTTTTTTACACACAAAACTAGGCCACGGAAAGGTAGGTATATAACAATTGGGTTAAAACATAGGTTGCAAGACTAATATTAATTATAAACATACTTTACTTTCATACACAAATTTTATCAAGAGGTCGTAAATTTTTTTTTTTTTTGATTAAGTGAGAGGAGATGGCAAATGTTAAATGGAGGAAATACATTATTTTTAATTAGATCTTGTATCAGATCTTGAGATTGTTGGGTATAGTTTGCACAACTAAAGAAAATATGATTTAGATCGCCTTTCTCTTGACACATAGTACATATCTCCGAATCTATAACATGGATTTTGAATAAATGTGCTGGATAACATGCATGTCCAAATTTCAATCTAATGATAGTTGTGATATATTTTCGAGGAAGTGAATAGTTTTTAAACCAATGCACATTCGGAATTTTTGGTTGTATTTTTGAATATTGAGTTGTAGTGGAATTTGTCGTTGGAATTATCAGAAGTTGTCTGACGAATTTTGGAAATTACTGGTACACAAGTTCCGATTCTGGTATCTTTCTTGATGGTAATCGAGTGATCATTAACGTTTATAAGACGGATTGGAATTTCTTAAGTAGTTGTGAGCAACCCCTTTCCGATCAGAATACCTCGTCCAACCTCTTCATCATGGTTCAAAGGTTCCATAGTTTCTTTAAGCCGTGCTACTATAATGATTTCACTTCTACCAGGTATCACCGTGTCTTCCTGTACAGATATTGGCACGGTACTGTCCGCATACCTCTTCGTCACCAACTTTGATCACTCTGTTCTTAAAGTCTAACTGGAAATCATGTAAGTTCATTACATCAGTTCCAAGTATAACATCTTCTTCGATATCAGCGACAATAACAGAGTAAGTTAACTTTTCTATAGTAATTTCTAATTAAATCTTGATTTCCTCATGGATGTTGGTACTTTCACCTATGGCAGCCCGCAGTCGCAATCTTGTTGGTAGAAGTCTCTTACGGTTATTTATGGTTGTTGGTCGTATAATGGTCCTAGTTGCTCCAGTAGCCACCATCAGTGTATACTTTTTATCATTTACTTCGCCGTCTACGTATACACTATCATCGCGACATTTCAAAGAGACTATCAGTATGAGAGAGTCTTTGGAACGGTTTCCGGTTGAAGCTGCCCCCTCTAGGCCGACTTGTTCTAGTTTTTCTGCGGCGTTATTGGGACCCTAGGGCGTTTGCACGAACTGCGTACATGTCCCAGTTCACCGCAATTACAGCACCTGATAGTCTTCGTCTTTATCTTTTTGTTATCAAAAGTCTTCATTATGTTAACTAGTTGGCTACTGTATCTTCCAGAAGCCTGCGTAGCTGCCTCATACTCTAGAGCAGCGGACAAGACATTGACCAATGTTTTGTGACGGGCTAAGCGGAGTGTTTTCTGCATCTCGTGGTCACGAAGTCTATCAACAAATGTTGGACTGCCATTTTGTTTTCTGGAGCAAATAGCACTATCATGGAAATATCAACTTTATATTTGTGAAGAGTCTCGTCTTACTTCTGTTTGCGATTCTTTCACTGTGACTGGTATAAATGCTCCAAGTGTTCGTGGTCATATCGCATGTTTAGTCTCTTTTTGAGTTGTTCAAAATCGTCTTTCTTCCACGGGTATAGTCTGAAGGACATCCAATGCGTCTCCTCGAAGGGCGAAAGTCAAATTTACTGCCTTCTCTCTTTTAGACCATTCGTTTGATCTGGCAGCTGTTTCGAACTGTTTAAGGTAATTGGTCCATGACATATTCCCGTCGAAAGTTGGGGATTTAACACGAGAAGAGTTTACAGCTCCTTCCAATTTCAACTTTGCCTCGACCTTATGGAACTTTACTTCACCGTCATTGGCCGGTTCTGCATATTCCAGTTCCTACATCTTCTTTTTCATCTCTTTTATTTTCTCCTCAACGCAAGACATTATTTTCTCATCAACAGAAGAAATATTATTTTCCACGTCAGTAGAAATTTCCTTTTTTAAAAAAGACGTTTCAGGAAACACTTTTTCTTCTAAGAAATGTCATTTTTTATAAAAGAAACATCAGAAGAAATTTTATTTTTTACAGAAGATAATTTAGTTTCCAAATCGGATGAAATTTCGTTTTTAAAGAAGTCATATCAGAAGACACTTTAGTTTCTAAGGAAGAAATTTCGTTCTTTACAGAAGATATTTCGGTTTTCATATCGGAAGAAATTGTAGAAGAATCATCATCCGAAAATAAATACGTTTCCGGATCCAAATCACTTTCTATTGCTTTTTTAAGCCGCTCTGTCAGCTCTGCTATCTTCCCTGTCGTCTCCATCTCACGATCTTCTAATTCCCAACATAACTTCGTCACTTTTAAATTACTCAGTTTTTTAGCCATTTTTGTCCACTATTTATTTACAATCCCACTTCTGACATCAATGTAACGTTTGTTTAATTTATTTATAGTTTATTTATTTAAAACACTTCATTTAAAATTTATTTATAACTTACTAATTAATTTATATAATACTTAGGCACTATTATAACTCACAATTCTAATTTATTTATTACAATTTATCTTTGCTGTCCAACACTTAAATTGATTCTTCCCGTACGTCGACAAACTCGCGTCATTTATATAAAGTCAGCTCTGTCCCAGAACTTTCACGGCTTTCCTTGAAGCTTCGGGAAATCCCTTTCTATGATCCATACGCTGCACCTCGATCATTCCGGAGGTTTCGAGAAGCGGTGCATGGCCAGCGCTAGACTTCATATCGCGGCAAGGAGTAAACAAAGTACAGAGACGGCTCCGCGTCACATTATATTATAATTTTACTAGATTATGCGTTTGTTAAACAGACAATTTGGAACTTTATCTATTTGATATATGAATTTGATTTCTTACCTGGAAATCCTATGTACATTATTTCTCTTGGCGTCCAGTTTCCTTTGGAATTTCTGAGGATAATACCTATGCCAACTCCCAGGATGACTCCTAGCATCGTTGCTATTGTAAGGACGTTTTGTTTAAGACACGATTTGAATTTGTTTTTGGGTCGTTGACGGTCATCTTCAACTTCGATCATCTCGAAGTTGTGGTGGTGGTGGGCCATGGTTCAGTTACGTTCTGAAAATTGAAACAATAAATTGTCATTAAGAAGGCGTTAAAACAAAGTGTATAAAACTAATTTAGCTAAATGGCAAAATAAGGTGTAGTTCGTGAATTAACTATAGAAAGAAACCAGTGCATTATAACTTGAAGAACTAGTTCTTTATTGCTGAAAGAACTAATTAATTATTAAGAAACTAGTTCATTAGAACTTACAGAAGTAGATAGATTTTATTTGAAAAATTCGAAAAAATAAACTCACATTTTTTATTTTTGCATGATTTTTAGGCATTTATTACGTAATCTGTGATTATAGGATTACATAATCAGCGATTAGGGAATTATGTGATTATGCAAATTGAATAAAAAGTCATTGTATTGTTACTATTCAATCTCAGACAACCTTATATCAAAAGGGATTTGCATAAATAATACGTGATATTTCACTTAAATTCATATATTTGTCATATCATTGACTTATATTCAGGTGGTAGAAGATATTAAATTATTTTTTTAGTGTTAAGAGAAAAATCAATACCAACCACATAATGTAGATGGGCACCCGTATTAAATATTTTAATTTTACAGTGTTTCAAAATTATCGAACAATATTTTAGAGATTATACACCATCACAAAATAAGCGTAGTTTGTTTTAAATCCATGTCCAAAAATGTTTATTAAGGAAGCTGTAATCCCTAGAAAGAATAATTTTTTAAAAATAATTTGTAATGGTCTAAGATCCGAAGTATGGTCGACCTTCACCCATCTGTTTAACAGATAAATGTTTTTTTTTTATTAAATAAAATATGTTCATAAATATACCGCAAATGGGTTGCCTACGAAAATAAGTAAAAAAAACTACACCATGTAAAGTATTCCCCAGATGCTTCTTCTATGCCCAAACTTTAGTCAGCTCACCGTAGAATGGATCAAAGCTTATGTTTAAAATTTGCTGTTTTTCTCTTCATCCGTTTTTGAGTTATCTTTAAAATTCGAAATTCACACTTCTTCAAATATCTCGAATTAGGTCCATTTTAGGGAAATCATGTATAGGGACAAAATTGTAGAGAATGACATCATAAGCAACTTTTATCATAATTCCTACACTTTCCCTATCTGTTTACAGAAAGGAAATTAAAAAATAGTCGTTATCGTATTTTATTTAATAGAAAAAAATTTATGAACCTTCAGATATATTACGAAAACGACCTTATCCATGTGGTTGTTTGAATAACCTTTAAAAAATTCAGTATAGTATATTCACTTGAGAAATTAATTCCTTACAAATTGAAGGATAAGGACAATCGCACAGACATACCGGACGTTTACTTGAAGAAATAACAGTGCGTTTAATTTCTTCATTCATTATATAAATAACATCAAATAATGATTCTGTATTCAGACATACGTGCAATTAATAATGAATTAGTTTGTTTCAGTTTAAAATGTAAAAGCGCATACCTTGAATTGAAAAGTTATTGTGAATGCAAAAGTCATATCAATGTTCTGCTTCTCTGTTTATTTATTGTTTAATTTCAAACAGGCATTCAGCCTAATTACATGAAATTTACAATATTAAATGGCAAATATTTTATATATCTTTTCGACTATAAAAATAGTTATTTATGCAACAAGTTCAAAAAGTAAATGTTTATTGAACGTGATGTGAAATTGTCGTCGATTGCAATAAACACTTTTTGCACGAGTTGCATACAATATTTTTTCTACGTTCATGCAAAAACCAAAAAATGTTTTATTTAGGCGACACTAAGTGCAGAAGAATAAAAAGCGTAATTTAATAGCAAAATATTTAATAACAGAAAATGAAAATGAACTAAATATTTGGCGTCGATTTCAATATTTATGTTTGTCATGATAATAAAACGCTGTAGTAAAATTGCAGATGCGTGCAATAAAATTTTTATTGCACTAGTGCAATGAAGAACCAGTTTTTTCACTATAGTTCAATAAAGTTTTGTTTTTTGCATGAACGTAGAAAAAGTATATTATGATAAATTAAGCTCAACTAGCAGCTTCACTTTCATGTATAAGACAACGTAAAAATTTATTGATGTGGACCCGGCTTAAGAATAAATTAAGTCAGTTAAACCTCGGTTAAAACGCTTATTTCGTTATAGTTCTAAACATGGAAGACATAGGATAACTAAATAGTCTGGGAGCATTAAAATTAATCAAATTTAGATCATAGGGATCATACATTTCCCTATTAATGTTTTTGTCCAAAAATGGTAACAAGTTCTTCTCAAAGAAACTTGATGAATCTTAAATGATTATCTTAAATCGGTAGTTCTTGTTACTTTAATCCGGCCAAATATCATGTTTTCTGTAGTAAAGATATCTTAAAAATAGATTTTGATTTTTTCTATTCTACTTAGAAATACGCTGTGATTGCCAAATATTGGAGATAAAAACCAAAATTGTGAAAAATAGCATTTTTATTACATGTAAGTTTGAAAAGCGAAAGTGTATTTCTAATTAGAAAGCCTAAAGTGCTGTTACTTCTTCTGCACGCCTCTTCAAAAGGCCATGCAAGTGACAAAGTCTAATAATATCTTTTATTTCATGAATTCTTTTTAAACTTTCTGTATTCATAATATAATCAAACAAAATGAGTAAATACATTTTTGTATTAAAATGGAATTTATTCTCTAAACTTACTTTTGTAATATTCTGTCTTTATCCCTTTGTAATCCAACACAGTTTCTATTATAACTTCTCTGTATATCTAAGATCATCCGCAAAGCATTGATAAAAAGCACAAAGAGAAGAGGATCAAGATTTAAACCTTCAGGAACTTTTTAGTTAATATCGCATAAAGTAGAATTGTGACCCATATGTAAAAAAATAATTTTCTATTTAGTTAAAAAGTTTGAAACTCTGTTTTATATATTTTGTGATTTATCCCAAAATGGTTTAGCTGAGCCAGAATCTTTCAAATGCTTTTGCGAAATCTGCAAAAATTGCATCTAATTGATTTCTGTTTTCAAAGACTGGTTTGTGGTTCGTATTTACCGATTTCTTGTTAATAAACCCACGTTGCCATATACTTTTATTATTTTCTTGTACATGACTTCATCGATTTTTTTTAATAGAACAATCTATTATTCTCCATTTTTGAATTCCTTAACAATAGACGATTACAAAAATGTATGTAATACTTATAGTCCAAAGTCACTGGTTTGTGAGACAAATGTTATATCAGATATTTTGTTTCCAAAATATTATTAAAAGGACTGGACTAATACATTTTTACACCAAATTAATATATAATTATGACAAAAAATATATTAATAAAAACTTACCATGTTTATTAGTCCACCCCTTTATATAAAATTTTAGGAAAAAAATGTCTCCAATTCACAGTCCACTAACTCTGCACTATGAGAATTCAGGGGCGTGCGTTCCATGGAAGCGGGGGAAGCACCGCTTCCCTACACTTTGAAATTTAAAAATAAATATTTTTAAGTTTACAATGCATAGAAATTAATATTAAATTAGGTACTATATTTTCTCTTAAACATTACGTAAACTTCGTAAATGTACTAACAATTCATTGGTGTGTAAACGCACGCAGTACCCATGGTACAATTAATTGTGTAAACGTACAAACGGTCTGTCAGCGGAAGTGCCTCTTGAAATAACCTGTTCATCTTGCAAGTGATTTCGCTTGGTAAATTGTGTCTGTATTGTGTGCTCTTTATTAAAAAAAGGATTTTCAAGTAGAAATTTTGAAGAGAAAACGGACATTATTAATTCTAATAGACTAAAGGATCCTATCAATTTCGAGACGAAAGTAGAAAAATCAGCAAAGAAATTCAACAGGCATTTTCACGTAGAGTTCTATGAAAAGTATGAATGGTTAACCTGCTGCAAAACTTTGAAGAAATTGTTTTGCTGGCCTTGCCTACTTTTTAATACAGTCGAAAAAATACATTGGAACTCAGTCGGTATTACAGACTTGAATAATTTTCACAAAAGTGTAAAACGATATGTAAATAGCAAATCTCATATAAGTGCTACAATTAAAGAAAAAACATTCGGGACCTATCGCATTGAACATAATTTGGACAATCATTTAAAAATAAGCAACAAAATTCACAATGAAAGGGTAAAAAAAATGGGGACGTCTTACAACGATTAATAGATGTAACTTGTTTCCTGGGAGAGCATGAACTTTTAGGGGTCACAATGAAGCAAGTGGATCCGCCAATCGAGGAAATTACACGGACCATCTAAGTTTTTTAGCAAAATACGATAATACCCTAAAAAATCATTTTGTTGATTCGACGACTTTCCGAGGTACCTCATACAGAATCCGTAATGATTTAATTAAATGCACTGCCGACGTTGTGATGGATCACATTAAAAGTGAAATTAAAAAAACACCTTTCGTATCAATTGCACTTCATGAAACCACAGATGTAGCAAAATTAAGTCAATTATCCATTGTTGTGCGATATGTATTGGATGGCATCCCTCAAGAGCGATTCTTAGGATTTTTGGACGTCACTAGCGAACGAACTGCAGATGCATTGTTTAAAATTATTTGTGACATTATTTCAAGTTTAGAATGTGGTTCTAACTTTGTTGCCCAGAGCTACAATGGTGCTGCCGTAATGGCTGGCCATTTAGGAGGTCTTCAAGCTAAAGTGAAAGAAAAGTTTAAACATGCAATTTTCGTTCACTGTATAGCACATAGACTTAATTTGGTTTTATCGCGAAGCATGGATAATATTAAATATTGCAAAGTTTTATTTTCGACGCTTGGTGGTTTGGCTTCCTCGCGCTTTGGACGTTCACGTTCAAAGAAGGTTTCCAAAAGTTGCTCCGACACGATGGAACTACAATAGACGTTTAGTGCAAACAGTGTTTCAATACCGTGATTCTTTGATAAACTTTTTCAAGACGTTTGGGATAATAAAGAAACAAGGGATGCTTAAACTATTACTACTGCTAAAGGGTATTTGCATTGGCTCAAACAAAAGTTTGATTTCAA